CACAGCGCTGCACTCGCTGCGCTCAGGGGGGTGTTTTTTCACACCCCTGAGCGCAGCGAGTGCAGCGCTGTGAATTGCCAGTGTAGCCAAGGCCTAAGGTATTTTTTAAAGTTCAGTTATATCTACAGTAGATTCCACTTATTATCAACCCCTTGGTCACCAGCAAAAAGGTGCTGCTATCCAGGAGTTGCTAATATATGAAAGGCAGGTTTGCGAGGCTGCAGCCCTGTAAGCCTGCCTACTCACAAGGCAGCAGTGGGGGGGAGGGCTGCAGCCAGGATGTGGGGGTTTCTATGCAGAGCTAGGGGCCCACAGAGCTGCATGGTGCCTCTCCCTGTGCTCTCCGGGAGTTGGGCCTCAACAACTCTTAGCGCTTTCTTTCCTGGTCAGGGCACAGCCCAGAGAGTGCAAGGAGAAGTACCATGCAGCCCTGCTACTGCCTGGCCCACAGCCCGCTACCTCCTGTGCGGTCCCTGTGCACAGGCAGATTTGCAGGGCTGCAGCCCCAGAAGGAAGCGTCATAACCCACGGAAAGAAGCCCTGGTAAGATGCCTTCTGGTTGGAGGGGTTCTTGGGGCTGTTTGTTCACAGATGACAGTGATTGTTTGCTGATAAAGCAGTTGGAGTGGTTTCTGAATCAATTCCTGCTGCCACAACAGCTGTAGGAGGGGTCTCCACCCCATGGGGAGTGGTGGGAGTTTGGAATGACCGAGAGTATCGCACACCACAAAGTGCTGTGCAGTATAGTCCAGGAGCCCCAGACACCCAAAGCCAGTTTCAGACCTATAGACCAAGCAGCATACCACTTTTACTTTCTAGGGGTTAGGAATAAAGTAGTATCCCTTTAAATAATTTGTGAGCCCTCTAGTGGTACTCACTGGTCTATATTTTAGAAGTTGCCAGAATCCAACCAGAGTGACAATGTGTGTATGTAGCTAGGTCTGGCATATTGTGTTCATTGAATAAACACTGCTAGTTGGATTCCACTTGCCTGTATGGTTCCTTCGTACCCTGTTTGTGGCTTAAAGAGCAAGAGACACAACACTTCAGCAGCAAGGCAAGGATTCTAATCTGGGAATACAGTCAGAATAGGGAGCGGCCTAGGGGCAGTGCAACTAAAAAGGGAACTGCACCTTGCAACACTAGGACTATAAGTGATCTGCTCACTTAGAGAAAAATTGTGTTAAAAATGTCTGGCACTTTGGGGGAAATTGACTTGTTTGGTAGTTCAGTAGCAGACTGGCCCACCTCTCGAAAGAGATTGGAACAGGATAGACGAGCAAATGGTATAACTGATGAGAAGAGAGTCAGTTTTACTGAGCATAATGAGCTAAAATGTGCATCTTACTAAGCAGCCTAACAGCTTTTTAAACTTGCAGCCGAAACATTTGCTGATTATGTGGAAATTCTACAAACTCATCTATCCCCAAAAGCCATGGTGATCACAGTCATTCCTACTTTTATAAATGGAGTCAAAAAGGCAATGAAAGAATTTCTGAGTATGTGATTGAATTAAGGAAAGTAACAGGGCATTGCCAGTTTGGAAAGAGTTTAAATGGTGCAGAAAGGGGCTAGTTAGTGTGTGATATGCAAAATGAAGCACCTAAAAACAATTATTGACTGAGGCTGATTTGGCCCTAAAACAAGCACTATAAATTGCTGTTTCAATGGAGACGGCCTAATGAGACTGTTGCTTCCCAATTAGGACAGTTAACATCATCTTTAATATCCTGCCAAGGACTGTCATGTCTTTAAGAGAGTCTAGACAGCTAAAAGGCTGGGTCAGAATACGGGGAAATGTTGAAATTAAAATGTGTGTAACCTTTTATGGTTGGAATGTTTTCATTGTTTTCCTTTTTTATACAAGCTTAATAAAAGGGATTTTAAAGGCGGTTCTTCACAGTGGTAGCTGCTGCTAACAGACCAGAGCCCCCCCGTAGGCATTTAACATTGTAACAGTAAACAAGGGCTTTAAATACCATACCTCAGTTGCTCCCTAGACCCCCACTCTTTAGCTATCAGGCTGTTGTGTATATAGCCTTTATTGGGAGGGATAGAACACACCCTTTGCCAGTGCGTTAAACCACTATTTTGTAGACATTTGTAGAATGCTGGGAATGTATGTCCATGTTCTTTCCTGGCTGTGGTGGGGGAGTGTGGTCTAATGAGTAGAGAAGGGATCTGCAAATTAGCACTCCTGAGTGGTCTTTGCTTTTAAATGATGCTTTGCATTTACAATGTGCTCATTAATCTGTGGGTTACAAACCTATTTGTGAAGAGGGGTATGTCAGAGTAGCCCCATTTTGAAGACATGGAGCATGATTCATCAGTGCTTTGTGGCCCCTTTGTGTTGGCTGAACTGCACCTTCATAAAGGGACGTACAAGCTGTCTCCCCTTGTCCCCTGTGGCAAATACCTCACTGGTGCAGGAATGAATTGAGCCACCCTAGCCAAGCACACAGATTTAGCACGGACATTCCAAAACACAGTATGGCTAAGTGACTGAAAGGTAGGTCTGCCACTTCAGAGACCTGGGTTCTCTTCCTAGCTCTACCAGAAGTGATCTTGTGCAACTTTACTGATCCCCAGTTATCTGTGAAGGGGGGGAATACTTGCCTCTGTCTTAAAGCAGGTGTATGAAGCCCTACCCGATATTAAGTGTTAATGATTAGAGTTCACAGGCTTGTGTCTCCTAGCCTAGCTACTTTCCCAGTGGCCAAACGACAGCTGTAGGACTGGCATGCTCCTGCCATCACCACCTCGCTTACACTATTAGTCTATGCAGTTATTTGGAAACAATGAAGAAGGCTCAGTGGGGCTTGGAAGCAAACTCAGTGCAGTAGGACTGATCAAGAAATAACAAGCGTGTGCCAAGGGAGATTTCCTATGGCTTACAAATCTGAAGAGATTTTTATGGAGGTGGTGAAAGGCACTGCCCTGACCCCACAACTATCCCTTTGCCAAATGTCCAGTTCCTGCTGCACAGCCCTAGGGATGTTCAAACTAGCTTTGGAAATGTTTTTAGCGTCGGTGAAAGTATCTATTTTTTTATTGATCTGGATCTAAAAATGGCTAACCTAATTTGCTGAAACTTTCAGAAGAAAAGTTTGTCAACGTTATAAGCAGCGAGTCTAGGGAATTACAATGGAAAGGATTAGGCAGCTTGAAATATTGGCATCACTACCACTTTGCCAAAAACATTATTGTAATGGGGAGACTTTGTCAAAGAAGTGAGTCTCACATTTTGTCTTGAAGGCAATGAGATCTGGTTAATCTCTTCCTGGAAGGGATTCCACAGTTGGGGGGCTGTTAAGCAAAAATCTATCTCCATCTCTCATACCTGTCACTCCTACAGTGGAAAGTGTCATGGTTCCCGAGGAGCACAGTTGCTGCAGGATGTTATGGCCCCAGAGTCTTGAAGGCAACCCTTGCAGATGTGGCCCAACAGCACTCCCTTAGAGGCTGCAGTAAAGCAGAGGCAGTTCAGACCCCATCTACTGTCTCTGATAAGATAATGAAAACTCATTCAGGTGGTACATTGGCAGAGCAGCAGGCCAAAGGGAGCCAGGCTAGGAGAGGGCAGATATGAGGAGAAGCGGTTGAAGGACTGGGCATTGGAGGGTAGTTGCTAGAACCATTCCCACAGAGGCTTGAGTAGTGCTGTAGCAGTAGCTTCTTCAAGGGATGGATTCTAGCCCAGTCGGTGCAGAGTGTCTGGCACCCAGCAGGTGGCGATCGTGCCTAAAGGAAGAGCAAAGGCAGGTCTGGATCCGCAGCCCCAGCCCCTTACTCCTCACAGCCAGCCACAGTTTGAAACTTGACAGGTCTCCAAGAAATACCAGTAATTTCCTGTTCTGAGGACTGACGCTGCCTAGTGCAAACACACACTGTTTGCTACACGTTTAAAATCATGACAAAGTCTGAGACATGGGCTTCCAGTTCAGAATGGCTGCTAAGCACCAAGCCTTCCCTGACTGGGAGCAGGGCAAGTGCCTGGGACCCAGAGGGCTGCCTAACAGGCAGTGAACTGTAGGACCCCACCCCACCCCAGCTTTCCTGGAGCAGAAAGGGACCCCAGGTTTCCCAAAGCCTCCTCCAAAGGGGAAGGGCAGTGTGACGGGTCACCTAGAGAGGTGCATTCCCCTGACAGAGTGCTGGGACCTTCTCTGGCAGCACCTCAGGAAGCTTCTTAAGAAATGTGGCTGCAAAGACACGCTTAAAGCCCTGACCAGTGCCTGGGCTTGCCCCACTTCCTGCCACTGGTAAGTAGCTCCAGGCTGCGCCCTTCCTGGCCTGAGCCAGGAAGATGGGCAGTGAGCTGGGGAAGCACCACAAGAGCAGCAGCTCCTATACTGTGTGGTGCGTGGGGGAGAGGAGGGGGCAGGTGAAGCGGGGCTGCAAAGTGCTAGGGAGTGGACCGGAGCCACTGCCTGGGGGCTTGGAGCGAGACCCTTGGCACCTGGGAGGCCTCCAACACCTGGAGAAGTGGCTCTGCTCTCTGGCAGGGCAGCCACCTCAATTCCGTTCACTCCTCTGAGATGGCTGGGGGTTGCCTCTAGCAGTGGCAGTGCACAGTAGCTGGCTAGACGCCGGGGCAATGACAGAGGTAGCTTTTTGCAGTACATCCAAAGAGCCCCAAGTATTATCGCACTGGCAGGAGAGGAAGCAGTGCTGTGTGTGCAGCCCAAGCCTGACACCTGCCGGGCAGGCAGGCCTCGCTAATCTGTGCGGTATTTTACAGGAACCCCTCTTGGCTCTCCCCAGCAGCCAGGCCTCATTGTGCAGGCTGAATACACTGGCTCTGGTTAGGAGACAGTTTGTTACGTTTTGGGGAAAGCAACGATATTGTTTACAAAGAACAAAGCTGTGAGCGGCACCGCTGCCTTGATTAACTTAGAGGCTTTATTGACTGACTGCTTTGTACAAAACAGGGAGATTTCTGTCCCAGCCCATTCAGGGCTCTGTACAAAACCCAAACTATGTACATGGAATTAGCTCTGCGCCTTTCACATGGGCTGAAATGCACACAGCGTAGACACACCTGTGAGTCCTAGCGAGAACTCACCTATAAACAGCTTAGCATCCTCAAATACAGCCCCCTAGTGACCCATACAAAAATCAGACTGTCACCTATTTACAGCAAGAGAGCACTAAGGGACCTGGCCTTGAGTCACTGCCAGCCCCAGGGAGGGCAGCATGGGCCCGGCAGAGCTCCATCCCCCAATGGGGTGACTCCGTGAGGCCAGCTGCTCATGGATAATGGCAGCAGAGTCAGGCCCATTGGTCCCCAGGGCCGATGGGGGGTGGGGGGGAAGAGAGCCAGTACAAATTACCATGGCTCAGCGGTCCGGAAGGGAGCCCGGCTTCCCCTCCCCGCCCCCATTGGCCCTGTTTAGCTGGTCCGCCCTTGCTGGGAGGCCCGAAAATTTTTTTTTTACAGAGGACCAAGCCCGCTCTTGGCAGCCCTGTTGGTCCCATACCTTGAAGTCATGACTGGGCGGAACTCATTCATGCCAGGAGGCTCCTTGCGGAGCGGTAGTCGGGAGTGGGGGGAGGAGGTCACTGAGGAGGGCTGATTAATCAAACCCAAGCTGGTTCTGGAAGAATGTGTGTGTGTTAGGGGTGCAGGGGGGAGCAGTCTCTGCTTTGTGCTGTTTTATTCTCGTTGCTCTTCAACACCTTGTGCTCTGCCATGCAGCATCAGGGGAAGCACCAGGCTTCTCATGCAGTGCTGCAGTGTCAGTTTCAAGCACAATCACATCCATGGGTGTTCAAGCCACACAGTATCATCACGCTGAATCAGTCAGATCAGCAAAGGCCAGAGACCTGCTCTCTGCAACCCCAGCATCGAGACCAGTGACTTGTAGTTATTGTAAACACTCAGGGACAAGCTCCCCTAGACTAGGATATGCTTGGGAGAGGGAGATGCTAACAGAAAAGGCCATCAGAGACCAATACAGGGAGATGGGAACTTCCTGTTGTACTGTGATTGGGTCTCCCCTGTTCAGAGGCTGGAAGACAGGATCAGATTCACACCAGGATCAAGAGGAACCTGACACAGTTCAGAGCTAAAGTCAGCCCTGTGCCAGCTGGGCTGGGAAGCAAGTGCATTGCATTGGGGTGCTGCAGTGAGGGAGCCCATGGGGAAGGAACTTTTTCTTGCCTACAATCTGAGAGGCAGCGATCCTTAGCGTTGAAGCCCAAACACTATTCCCAGTGGATTTTCGCCTGCTGTTCCACAGCCAGGGACTGACCCTTGGCAGCCGTAAGCCACTCAGTGCATGCTGGTCAGAAGGGGGCTAGTCCACAATCAGCAGCCAGTGAAGAAGTGGGTTTGCCGGCTCGCATATTGTGCTGCTCGCCCCGTGTGCAGTAGCGCAGGCCGGGGGCACTTTGACCCAAGCGCTGTACACAGAGCCTAGCCCCTGCACCAGGTTGTTAGGATAGGTAGTACATGCCATAGGTGACTGGCGCTGTGAAGAGACCTGGGACAGGCTGCAGGGCTGCTCTGCTGGGGAAAGTGCTGGTGGCTCCGTACAGGGAGGGGGAGCCCAGGTGTGCCCCCAGCGGGAAGGGCAGGGCAAAAGAGGGCAGCAAGGGCTTGGTGGCCAGTTTGAGCTTCTCCAGCTCTGCTTCCTGTAACCTCTTGGCCTTAGCCCTGCGGTTCTGGAACCAGATCTTGACCTGGGTCTCTGTGAGATTGAGGGAGCTGGAGAACTCGGCCCGCTCAGCGATGGACAGATACTGCTTCTGCCGGAACTTCCTCTCAAGCGCCAGCAGCTGCGAGGTGGTGAAGGGCGTGCGGGGCTTGCGATTGTTCTTGTGCTTCCTCAGAGTGCAGGGTGGAGGGCTGGGCTGCCCTGCAAGGTGACACAAACAAACAGCCCAGCTACTTAGTGTGGAGTGGCCCTGGGCCGGCTGCCAGGCCAAAGAAGCGATCTCTAGGACCCTCCAGCCCTGTATTCCTACCCACATCAGACATGGAGCCCATCCTGGGCTCCAGCCCTGCCATGAATGCACGTTTCCCCAGTGGGGCTAGCTTTGGTGCAGGGCCTGGTCCCTCGGGGCTAGGAAGCCAGCATGGCACAGAGCAGGCCTTCCCCTCAGCGACTGCACAACAGGTACTCACAAAGCCCCTATTTGGGGCCCGGAGACTCCCTCAGGCATGGGGCTGGGCATGCTGAGCTGGGATGCGGATGGGGCACTGGCTGTCAGGGAGCAGGGTGCTGTGGCACAAAGGCTCCACACATTAGTCCCCAGGAGCTCCTGTCTCAGCTGGAGAGAGCAGGCAGATCCCTCCCCTGCCCGTGGGGTTCCCAGTGCCTGGCTCCACAGAGTGGCCAGTGTGTCATTCAGCTCACAGGGGAAGAGCTGCCTGGGGTCAGAGCCGCCTGGGGTCAGAGCAATGGGTTTCACCGTGCACCTGGCCTGGGTGTGGGCAGAGGAGCTGAGCTCATAGGCAGGCACCAAGTGGTATGAGCTGTGGCCCTGGGCCCAGATGGGACCCCTGAGGGAGGAGTGCAGGCCAGGTCCAGGCGCCCTGCGCACCATTAGCAATGTTCAGTGAGAGCACACTGGGCCTTTCCCCCACTGTTCAGAAGTGAGCGGCTGGCGAGGGCTGCTGGGGGCGCGGAGTGATAGCAGGGCTAATGGCCTGGCAGACTCTACCACAAGGCTGTAGGTCCCAGCAGGAGCCCGGGTCAGGCTGTGCTGCTCACACAGGGCTCGTAGGTGCAGAGCATGGGAAGCTGCAGCCGTCTCAGGGTTGGCTCGGGGTTGAAGTGATGGCACCTCAGCCTGGCTAGAGCTTCACAGCGCAAGCAAGGGGCTGGGGTGAGTTCGGGCCCACTGAATGGCTATTGTCTCCCCATCCACTATCCCTGTGGTCAACATGCCCTTCCCACTGGTGGGGCCAGGTCCTGACCATTCTGCTGTTCAGAGGAGGCCACAGGTGAGCCTGGCCTGGGCTCTCAGGTGGGGAGAGGGTCCCATACCAGCAAGGGAGGGAGCCCGCACCCCATGAGTTTAGTGCTCCCCCCGCTGCTCTGGCAGGCAGGGGGAAGGGTCCCAGGGGTCCCGCTAGCTGGACTGACAGTTGCCCAGGCTGGCTCTGTGCTCTGACACGCAGAGGTGTGGGGTCACTTTAGGTACTTACTTGGTGGAGAACAGGCAGATTTTGCAAACCAGGAGTTGGGCTCCTTGTCACCCGGACTCTCCACTGCTGGTAGCTGCTGCTTAGCCCGCTGCTCCGGGAAATCTTGGCCTGACTCCGCTGTGTACAAGCTGCTCCGGGCCCGGGCGGGTGGCACTTCAGCAGTGGCAGCAGGGGGTGGCTGGTGCGGGCGACTGCTCCGGGGACACAGCTTGCGCTCCGTGATCAGCAGGGACTCCACACTGAAAGGCAGCAGAGGGCTGGAGGTGGTTTGGCCCCTGCATCCCACTGCCTTGGAGCCCATCCTGGGCAGCTGCTCCTCAGCAATGGGGCTCCCCTTGGCTAGGGCGGCCACTCCTTTGCTGGTCTCCGCCTGGGCTGTCTCCGGGCTCAGCAACCTCTGGCCAGAATTCATCCTTAGGGAGGAGGGAGCCATAAAACTGCTGCGGGGGTAAGGGGAAGTCAGCCCTGCATACACACCCCCAGAGGCTCCAGACACCGCCCCAGAGCTCAGGCCCAAGCAACAGCCTCAGGGGTGGGGTCCAGGCTCCAGGGTCCCAGCTCCAGTCTCAGTGGTGGGGTCCAGACTCCAGAGACCCAGTTCCAGCCTCAGGGGTGGGGTCCACCCACTCCAGAGTCCCAGCTCCAGCCTCAGGGTCCAGGCTCCAGGGTCCCAGCTCCAGCCTCAGGGTCCAGGCTCCCAGCTTCAGGGGCAGGGGGCCAGACTCCAGGGACACAGTTCCAGCCTCAGGGGTGGGGTCCACCCGCTCCAGGGTCCCAGCACCAGCCTCAGGGTCCGGGCTCCAGGGTCCCAACTCCAGCTTCAGGGGTGGGGTCCAGGCTCCAAGCTCCCAGCCCCAGGCTCAGGCACCAGCAGTGCGAAGTGCAGGGTGGGAGATGGGGTCCCGGGCTCCATGCTTGGGGCAAGGCAGCAAGCTCGCGATGGGACTCGGGGACCCTGCAGGCTTCTCCTGCACTTTAACAGCTATAAAAGTTCTGCCGCTCCTCTTTCATGTGGCCGCCCTCCAATCTCCCCCCTGCAGCCCGTGACGTGCCGGGCGAGGGGCTGCCATTGGCCGCCTACACTCTCAGGCCGGAGCCGCCTGGCTGGGGAGGGAGGCGGCCGCGGGGGGGGGCGGCTGGTGGCCCCCGGGCTGCAATATCTGGGAGCACAGTTCAGTGCAGTTAACAAATAGGGCAGCAGCCCCTCTTCTCCCCATTGCTGGGCGCTTGTTGGTACCAGGGAGAGTGGCTCTCCCAAACTCCTCACTAACATTTCCCTGCTGATTTCACCTTTCCCCAAAATCCTGCCTTTGCACCCCAATGAACCCATAACATTTATTTCATCAGTCCCCACTAGCCACAAACCTGGCAGCTCCCCAGTCTGCCAGCAGCGAAGGCTGGGAGCCCAGCCTGCTCCAGGGGCTGCTTTGCTCTGTTCTTTAACTCCCCCCGCACTGTTTTCTTGAACTTTGCTAAGACTTTCAGTCTGCTGTTTTACTTACAAGGGTAATTGCTAATTTATTACATTGGTCCTAGTCTTTCTGCCGTGCAACTCGTCTTGATCCTTTCTGATTGTTGCTGCTTCATTTGAAAAGCACCGGGAAATCCTTCACCATAAGTTGGAGCATTTTAATAAGGCAGACAAGTTATGCTTTGGAAGGCGCCAGGCGCAGCAGGATCAAAAGGGAAGCTACCTCAGGGAAAATAGGCAACAGTTAACTCTACTTAATTGTCCTCCCAAAATTTAATGTCCAGTGTATGGCTGAAAGGACTAGATTCGCACACAGGCGGGCTTTTTATTGGCTGTTAACTGTTGAACTGCCGGAATTATTTGAAAAGCAATGAAGTTTGTCATTACCACCACTAATAATGTTTTCGCTGAGGGACAACATTAAATACAGCTAAAAGTAGACTCTAGTGCATAGGATGAAAAGGTCTCTTTTCTTTTCTTTTCTTTTCTTTTCTTTTCTTTTCTTTTCTTTTCTTTTCAGATTTACAAGAGCTTTTGGATTGAATGTTTGTTGTATTTATTCCAGAACATTTGCTATTGTAAATGGTACTGCTGTAAAAAATTCCAAATGTGCTACAGTATGTTTCAGTCCATTAATCTGAAGGTAGATTTATGTTTGTTTGTATTTTTTTTAATTTAGCATGTGTCAGAATTTATTCACTAAAGTGACACAACTCACAAAATAACGATATATTGTTTTGAGAGAAAAATCCCGGTTTACCACTCTGGTCCGTAATGTTTTCTAAATAAGAAAATATTCTTCATTCTTTATTTTAAGATCTTTCAGTGGTTGCTTAATACAAAGTGGGCTATACTCACTTCAAACGTTTGCACACATGGCTCTGTCTGCTCATATACCCAGTAAACAGTTCCATTTGGTTAAATAGTGTAGCAAGAGTTAATGGGAATCTGCACATCCCAAGGAGGAGTGGGTCTGTGATACTGCAGAGCCCGGCAGTCCACCAGCTCCAGGACAAGGCTCATACATCTCCCTAGACTTAAATAAACATGTATTCCGTGTGATTTTGTACTCACCTAGGAGCACACGATGTGCTTGAAAATCTACTTGGTATCTGTAAAAATAAATGAATGTCAGGATCTTCAGATATTCTGATAAGGTCTCAGAAATTGTAAAACTTTATTCCACTTAATGTCCATATGTAAACAAATGTCTACAAAGGAATAAAGTCTGATCTACCTTTGTTCTGCCATGGGCACCCTCATCTTTACAGAAACAGCCCATGCATTATCCGATTGCTGGCCAATCCCGCTAATGTTATAATTGAGATTAGACTAACTACCTCTTTGACAATGTTTGACACTGCTGTAACTCCTGGGATAGCAAGCGCGGACTGCATCCCCATGTGCTGCAGATCAGAAATGATTCAGAGTCTAACAAACACTCCGGATGGAGAGAGAGGACCCCGGGGGCCTTCAGGAATCCTGGGATGGACATTACACAGAAAACAAAATGTTGACTTTCAAACCCAGAGTTGGCTGTGGAAGGAAATCCCTGTCTAGAAATCGCCGACACCTTTGTGTTGAGAAAATTACGGCGGCCTTGTTCAGGCAAACTCTGGGAAACACTCAGCACAGCCTGCAAGATTGGGCGTTTGTGAGCTGAAGGGCTGCACAGCCCAGACGGCGAGCTGCACAGGCAGAGCCAATGTCTGGAGGAGGCTGCCTCTGAAGCTGCTGAGAAAGACCACAAAGATACATTAGTCCATATTCTGGGCCAGCCCTGCAACTCGTGGACACTTCCATGGGAGTCTGACCTGGCCAAGGACTGTGGGATTAGGCCCCTCGCCGCAGTCTGTGTTCTTATATCCCTGCCTATCTCCTCTTGAGACAGCAGACTTCAACTCCAAGGACACCAAGAACTCCCCAAAGAGACGCACAAACTCCCTGTTCATTTGGAATTGTTCTCTATGCATTCAGTCCCTCTAAACTCCCGACACTATGCAATATGGCTTAGCAGGACTGCTGTCAGACAGGTAAGAAACGCAGTGATATGTCGCTGAGCCCTAACGAGCAAACAGCAACTGGGACTAGGTTTTATTCTTAGACAAAAAGTTCACTGGCTTGACACTTTTAACATGTGCATTATTAACTGCTCTGCTGCCAGACTACATTGACTGATATCTGTGTGCATATACTGTGTCTGTCCACAGTTGGCACCCAATATTACAAATTATTCGGGAGGGGAGGGAGTATTCAAACGTGCTTTATTTTGGTTTTGCATGTAAGCAGTTGGATCTAATGATCAGAGCACAGGACAATCCAGCTAGTATGTAAAATATATATAGATATACAAATGCAACAGTAACATCATTTTGAGCAATTTGTACCATTTAAGGACAGATCTGCAAACATATTGTTTTGATATCAATAGATGGCTCATGGTGAGAAGAAAGGACAGTTAGGAACATGAACATCTGTTGAGCCATGTTATCTAGTTACAAAAAATAAGGTCAAGATATAGGTAAGAATCATGGCTTCATGTTCAGGAAACCTACAAAATATTTCTATTATTTAAAAAAAACTGTTCATTTAATTAAATCCAGATTTGTTTTCAGTTTATTGCAATTGCTCAGCAATGCTAAGGAAATTCAATTAAAACAAAGTTCTCCCCAGTGCAAATATAGAAGCGTTGGCTGAAAAGCCCACGACACAGGCAAATTCCCTGCTTCCGAAGGGTTCTCATACCATATTGTAAGAACTCCTTTAAGGTTATAAAGAGGGACTAAAGTGATTGTAGATAATTGTGTTGTTAACATTGTTTCTTTAAAGATGGAGATTATGATAATCTGTTTTAGGAGTAGTAAACTTCAGTGTGCTTTAGGGTAAAGAAATTTTTAATGAATATCGTTTCATTGCAGGGATAGATTCTTTATTGACATGTTAATTTAAATATGTGCAATTATATATATCTATATATACACACACAGAGACTCAAGGAGGACACACATATAAACTTGAATACTCTGGAATTTGTGAATTGTTTTTCTCTAACAAAGTGCAGTGGATAAATAAACTGACAAGCAGAAAAATCACTATGAAATAACTTCCCATAAATGCTGGGTTTTCATCTGTATGCATGTTGTGGAGGGTTATATCCATGTTACCATGCACAAGGCCTGGATTCATGGAAAAAATAGTGCAGAATGACTTTCTAGCCACTGTACCTAACATTGAACTGAATGCTTTCCTGACAAAGCACTAGAATCAAATACAACTGGGCATTTGTCTTCTCGGTAAATTTTATCATCGTCGTCGTCGTCGTCATCGTTTTGTGGTTATGTTTATGCCACTCCTGATGCTTAGTGCTTTGGACGTATGGACTGGAAGGACTTCTCCTTTTCTGTTCCCTACAGCAGGACACACCATCTGTTTTCAGGTTGGTTCTGGTCTCTATGTGCCTAGACTTTTTTTCTGTTTGCCCGCATTGCTGTGTCTAGTGCTTATATCACACAGCAATACTGTTTACAACACACCATTATATTCTGGCGCAGTCTCTTTAGCAGCCTCAGACTCTTCGTCTGCCAGTTTAAAACTGGTAGCATCTTTCATTCTGTTTCACCCTGTTGCCATCCGTTCATATTGCAATGATGCAATGATATTTTCAAAAGGAAGGTTGATGAATGAAGGGTTTATAATCTTAGAATGCATGATTGACACACCTTAGGGTAGCTTCTTTCTACATTGAATTGAATGAAATAAATCTAGTTAGATTTGACATTGTGAAACAAAGACACACTCGATGTAATAACACAGAAAGGAAGCTGGAAGCTGGGCTGGCTTCAGACCAAGCTGTAGAATACTTGCACTTTCAAGGCATTTTTAATATTCAGAGCTATTGGACTGTGAATTGCTCAAAAGTGTGTGTGTTTGATCATTTGTTAGTTACATATATTGGGCCAAGATAAAATGTCTGATCATTAACCTTGGCTACTAACTTTAAATTTCATTTTTAAAAGCCTGCTTGTAAACAGAGAGAAATGGAGCCTATTTGCTCCGTATGCCCAAGTGCAGCAAGCGGTTGGAACAAAAACCATTCAAAAAAAGGGGACCATAAACAAGGGAGAGTAAGACTATGATGAAACTACAGCTCCCGGCTACTTTCCCCTCTTTGTCTAAGGGTCCTAGAGACCCTGCTCTCACCACACTGGTCGGAATGCAATTTCCATCTCATGGCAATCACAGTGCAATGTAGCTTGACTTCTATATTTGGGGGGTCTGGAGGCCAGTACTCATGGGGTGCATCTTTCTGTTCCCTTCCCAACCCTGGCCCTTCAGCCCAGCTCCAGGGCACACAGCCCAGTTGACTTGCCCTACATGATGGAGCCTGCGCAGGGAAAGCAGACGGGTCCGGGCTCAAGGGCCGGAGTCAGCAGTGGGCTGTCCAGTAGGGGGCCGTTGCTCATGGGGTGCATCTTTCCATTCCCCTCCCAACCCTGGCCCTTCCATGCTGCGGCCTAAGGGCCCACCCCCCAAA